CTTTCACTCAGGCTGGAATGCAGTGGGGAGATCTCGGCTCATTTGAAGCCACAACCTCTGGGCTCAAGCAATCCTCCCACGGAGCTGGGACCACAAGCACACGCCGCCACATTCAGCTAACTTTTTTAGAGAATGGTTTTCGCCACGATGCCCAGGCTGGTCTCAAACTCCTAAGACTTAAGTGATTGGCCTGCCTCAGCCCCGCAAAGTGCTGGGATTAGTGTGAACCACTGCACCCGGCTAGGAATGGGTTTTTAAATTTAATTTTATTTTATTTTGGGACAGAGTCTCGCTCTGTCACCCAGGCTGGAGTGCAGTGGCGAGATCTTGGCTAACTGCAACGTCTGCCTCCCGGGTTCAAGCAATTCTCCTGCCTCAGCCTCCCGAGTAACTGGGACTACATGCGAACGCCACCCCGCATAGCAAATTTTTGTGGGTTTTTTTTTTTTTTTTTTTTTGAGACGGAGTCTCGTTCTGTCGCCCAGGCTGGAGTGCAGTGGCCGATCTCAGCTCACTGCAAGCTCCGCCTCCTGGGTTTACGCCATTCTCCTGCCTCAGCCTCCCGAGTAGCTGGGACTACAGGCGCCGCCACCGCACCCGGCTAGTTTTTTGTATTTTTTTAGTAGAGACGGGGTTTCACCGTGTTAGCCAGGATGGTCTCGATCTCCTGACCTCGTGATCTACCCACCTCGGCCTCCCAAAGTCTGGGATTACTGGCCCGGCCTTTTTTATTTATTTACATTTATTTTTTTATTTAAGATGGAGTTTCGCTCTTGTTGCCCAGGCTGGAGTGCAATGGTGCGATCTCGGCTCACTGCAACCTTCACCTCATGGGTTCAAGCGATTCTCCTTTCTCAGCGTCCCGAGTAACTGGGACTACCACCTGCCACCACGCCTGGCTCATTTTTGTATTCTTAGTAGAGACAGGGTTTCACCATCTTGGCCAGGATGGTCTCAAACCTCTGACCTCATGATCCACCCGCCTCGGTCTCCCAAAGTGCTGGGATTACAGGCGTGACCCGCTAGGAATGGATTTTAAAAGTGCAATCTGACAATGTCAGTATTCCAAATGTATTTATTCCATTTACATTGTATTTTTTGTATTTAGACTTGTTTCAATCATACTACTTTTTAATTCAGTTTAGTCCACTTTTCTGAGCTTAAAAAAAAAAAAAATTATTACTGTGCCTTTTTCTTGGGGGACAAGAGGATGGTTGATATTTTTGCTTATTTGCATTTTCTAATTTTTCCCTCTTTATTCGCTTGGAATTTACGTACTGTTTCTGTTCTTAAATCTTACGAGGTATATTTAATTTTATAGCGCCTGTTTCTCTACTTTACAACTGCTTCAATTCACCCTTCACCTCGCTATAATCTGGTTTCTGGCCCTACCATTCCAACTGAAGTTTACCGTTTCCAAATGCTAAATTCAGTAGTCCTTTTACCAATCCTTCTCTCTTAGATTTTCCTGCGGATTTGATGTTTGTGATCATCCCTTTCTCTAGATAGTATAGTTCCTAGGGTTCCTTGACATTGTACTTTCCTGGAGTTTTGTTTTGTTTTGCATAACTTTCTGACTACTCTTCATCATCCCCATTCCACCTCCTCTCCTTCTTGGGCCTTTCTTCCTTGACTTCTATTAAAAATGAATATTTCCCCACAAATTGTCCCAGCCCACTGCTGTTATTTTACAAACCCACCTTATGTGATTCCCATCCATCTCCTATGGTATCAGTTACCACCTCCATGGGCTAACTCACAAATTAATTTCTCCAGCCTGACCTCTTCCTTGAACTTCAGACTCTTAAATCCAATTTAAATCCAGGTCAGCCAGACCTGGATATAACACAGGCAACACAATTTCAACAAGCCTAAAACCAAACTCCTAATTATCTACTTCTTCCTTCCTAGAGAAAAGCCAGCTTCTCTTCCTTCTGTAAATTCTTTTACATAATCTAGAAACATGGGAGATTTGACTGCTTCCTCCCTCTCCATCCCACATCTTATCCAATACTGACACCTCCCAACTCTACCTCCTAAAGCACCTTGTCTAGCCCTCGGGCCACAGTCTGCATGCAGCCCAGGATGGCTTTGAATGAGGCCCAACACAAATTCATAAAACATTATGAGGGCCGGGCTTGGTGGCTCATGCCTGTAATCCTAACACTTTGGGAGGCTGAGGTGGGTGGATTGCCTGAGCTCAGGAGTTCGAGACCAGCCTGGGCAACACAGTGAAACCCCGTCTCTACTAAAATACAAAAGAAATTAGCCGGGTGTGGCGGCATGCGCCTGTAGTCCCAGCTACTCGGGAGGCTGAGGCAGGAGAATTGCTGGAACCCGGGAGGCAGAGGTTGCAGTGAGGCGAGAGTCAGCCGGGGCGACAGTGTGAGACTCCATCTCTACAAAACAAACAAACAAAACAACAACAAAAAAAAATTATTTTCTTTTTCTTAGCTCATCAGATATCACATTTTATCAGTATTTTACATGTGGCCCAAGACAATTCTTCCAATGTGACCCAGGGAAGCCAAAAGATAGGACACTCCTGTCCTAAAGTATTCTTCTGGTTGCTTTTCCCCAAATAGTATTCTATGGTTATTAGATATACCAGAGAAATTGACTCCACGGTAAAATAAGTATTGATAAGTGCTAGAAAACTACGAAAAAAGTCTACTACAGGACTTTTCAAAGAGATTACTTTGTAGAAACTATATTCTAGATATGAAGTGATATAACCTAGTCTTTTCCAAGACAAATAAAATGCTTATTGTATTTAGCATTTCTGTGGAACACCTTTTAGCATCTCACATGCCTCATGATCAATCATTAACTGCTACTCTAAGCTCCTCCATTCTCCCCTACCCCCACCACCACAGCCCTAGGTCAGCTCTTACCATTTCTGGTTCCCTACCTCTGGTCTTGTTTCCTCAAATGTGCTGTTCACAGTGATGCAACAGTGAGCTATCTAAGACTCAAATCTACCAAGTCTCTCCACCACTTACACTTTGAGCTAAACTCCTTCATAGGGTGTGGAAAGGCCCCCCAACCTAGTCCAGCTCCACCTCTCCCACAGCGCACCACACTCACATCATACCCTAGAAATACGTTTGTACCTCTCAAAATGTTCCATGCTCTTGTAGGTTTCTATATCCTTATTCACATGACATTATTTGTCTGGAATATTCTTCTCCACACCAATTCACTGGTTAACTGCTACTTCTCCCTTTAAGACCCAGCTCAAGTGCCACTCTCTTCAGGAAGGTTTCCTGAATGGGCTAAGTTCCCCCTCACCTCAGCTCCCATTATCCACCTGTATAGGAAATTACAGGCCAGACACAGTGGCTCACACCTGTAATCCCAGCACTATGGGAGGACAATGTGGGAGGATCACAGGAACTCGCCTGGGCAACATAGGGAGACCTTGTCTCTACAAAAAAATAAAATAAAATTAGCCCAGTGTGGTGGTGCACACCTTTGGTCCCAGCTACTTGGGGAGGCTGAAGTTGGGAGGATTGTGTAAGCCCAGGAGGTCAAGGCTGCAGTGAGCCATGATCACACCACTGCACTCCAGCTTGACAGAGCGAGACTCTGTCTCAAAAACAAAAACGGAAAAAAGAAATTATAAATTTGCTGCCCCATGAGACCAAGAGCTTCTTAACCAGAAACTATCTCAGATTCATCTTATTCATCCTTCTCAACCTCTAAATGCTGATGGGTTCCCAGACTCAGTTCTCTTCTATTTTCTCAAGTGACTTCAACCACTCTCATGGCTTTACATAACACCCGTATCCTCACGACTCCCAAACTAACGCCCCCAAACTATTTCCAACTCTTTCCAGATCTCTACGGACTGGCTGCATATTCAGGTCTCAGTCCAAATGTAACCTTCTCGTGACCACTTCATCCAAATGGCCCCATACCCACTCTCCCCCCTGTCTTATACTGTCTGAATTAGATCTATTTGTTTATTATCCATTTCTCCTACCACATTACCCTATGAGATTGGAGAGTTTTTATTCACTGCTTTGTCTCTAGAGCCTAAACAGTGTTTGGCACATTACTGACACTTATTAAATGTTTGTCAAATGAGCTACTGCCTAACACAGATCTGGCATGCAATACCTGCTAATACCTGAGTGCTTACTAAGTGCCCAATAGTGTGCTAAATATACCACAGGAACTGCTTATTATCCTAACTATTACCATCGTCCCCATTTTACCCGGAGACACAGGAGTTTAGTAGTTTGCTCAGCGTAGGAAGGGATAGGAACACTGGCAGCCTGACCCAGAGCTGACTTTCCTAATCACTGAGCTGTCCTCCCACTTACATCTGTAAGGACTCAAAGCGTGCACTCAAAGGAAAGAAGGGAGGAAGGGTCCAAAGATCACATCTGTTGAGAGCAGAAAGGGAGTCAAAGGGAGAAGGAAACAGACCAAAGACGGTCTTCTTCCTTTTGTATTTCGTACTGCCCCCAGGAATGAGTGTCCTGTTTCTCATTCCTGACACTGATTTGGAAAGCCCAGTTCCAATAGCTCAGAGAGGGGTGAGTTACCTTTACCAGCTAAAGCTACTGCTCTCTCGGCAGAGAGGAATTTCAACTCACTACTCAATTGCCATGGCATAGGGAAAGAACAAGGGGCTGGAAATCCAGACACTTGCGAGGCTACTGCCGGCTCTGCCCAGGGTTCTCTAGTGGACATCAGCCAACCATGTCCTTTCTCCGTGTCTCAGTTTCTCCATCTGTGGGGGAAAGGCATGCCGCTCTGATGCTCTGACTCTAGCAGGTGCCAATCTTCGGAGTTCCCTCAGTTCACAGCTCTAGACGCCGGTGGAGAGAGGCCCCCTTTCTGACTGCTGGAGCCTGGGCCTCGCCCTTGGGTATGAGAAGTACAGAATTTTCCAAAATACAGTAAGTGAAAGAATTGCCTTTGGAAAACAGAAAACCTGAGTGTAACGCACCCTCCTCCAAGAGTGACGCACAGTAATGGCCAAGCAAACAGTCCTTCCCTGCAATATTTATTAAGGAATTTACACATACACAGGAGAAAGGCAGCCAGGAACTGTAGTTCCCACACATGAAATCTTTTAAGCAAAGTTTTGTCTGAATTTTCAAGTGGGGTGAACAATGACTGAGAGGAAAGCTGTCCCGGCCTCTGCCTCGTACACCTGGGAACGGTGGGGAAACAGAGCACCCGGATACACAGGCATGAAAGAGTCATCAGCAGACTGGGAGAAGGGAAAGGAGAAAGGGAGTTATCAATGACATGGCATTTTTTAAAATGTAAGAAAAACACAACAGTTTTAGGCTGCTGATAAATTAACTCCTCTCTGTTGTAAACCTAAAACTAAACAAAAACAGAAATACCCAGAGCAGATGGGGAGAGGATGGGAGGCGGAACACACATACACACACACACACACACACATACACACACTCTCACGTGCACACACAAGCAGTACACGTTAAGCTCTGCAGTCCCACTCTAGGGGTTTGTCCTCCAGCCACGGAGCCAGATCCTACTGAAGGCAGGTGGGAGGCAGGAAGGGATGTGTGTCTGTGTGTGGGATCTTCATAAAGTCTTTGGTGCTAATAAAGGCTGACTGAAGCAGCAAGTCCTGAAGCCCCAGATCTGGAAAGCAACTCAGGGTGAAGAGAGTAGTATTTTTGCTCATCCTCATAGGAGGGGGCTTGCCTCACCCCAGGGCTAGGGTCAAACTCACCCAGGGCCCAGGGAGTATTTAGTTTGATTTCAGTACTTGCTTCATTCCCATAAATCATGAGAACATGATGCTTCCCCTTCAAATTTAAACACTTAGAAACAGCTTATTAACATATATAGAAGGACCTCTAAGCTTTCCCGTTTGCCTAATACACAACACCTACAGACCCTTCTGAGAGTCTGACAGGAGCTTTAACCTTGAGGGAAGGTACTCAAAGGTGTGCACGTTTCTCCCACAGTTTAAGTGCCTTCTGCCAACAACTTCTAAGGTGCTGGTGCCAGGAGAGGACTGGGGAGGACGTTGGGATGGCTATGGGGCATGTACAACATAAAGCAACAGAGAGGTCTTCATGTTTGGGAAGTGGCTGGGCAGGATGCCAAACCCCAAATGACTTATTGAGCAATTTCTAAACCAAACAGAGAGGTAGGAAAAGAGGATGGGGGTCAGGGGTGGAGGCTGTGGAAAGGGGAGAGCGAGGGCTGAAGAGAATGGCAGCCATACAGGTGTTTTGTTTTTATTTCCACATCTGAGGACTGAGAGTCTGATTTGCTGCCTGTCCACTTCCGCCGCTCATTGGCTGTCCATAGTTCATCATGCCATTGGCTCCATAGAAGTTCATCCCAGCCATCTGCTGGGTCATCTGAAAGGGAGAGAGGAGACTTTCAGACCAGGCTGTGGGCATTCTGCCAATTAGTGCAAAAGGCAGAGTGGGAGTCCCTTTCTCTGCCAGGATGGGGAGAATGAGACAAAGGGAAACTGTTATGGACAGTAAACCCTGGACCTTCACAGTCAGATCATTTCAAGGCCATGTACATGAACGACTTTTTGGGAGTGCAATGTTGACAGAGACTAAAGCTCAGGGAGGGAAAGAAGGCATCCTGGCATCTGGATCTAGGTGACAGAAAATCAGCATGAGTTCCTCTCTTTTTCCTTTCCAGCCCCTCATCATAAATAAAAGGGGCCTATTGTTAACTTGCCTGGCCAATCCTAAAAGCTGAAAAGCAAGCCCCCTCCCCAGTGCTCCCGCCTCATCTTCAGCACAGCTATTACTGTCAGTGTCAGGGAAAGAGTTTGAGCAGGCTCTTTCATTTGCAGAAGGGGGGAAAAAAGGAACTGGACTGTTCGCAATGAACAAAGGCAGGGGGTAAAAAAGACTAATGTGTCTTCGGTGTATGAGAAGGGAAGGAGCTGGAAGAAAAGTCAGTGGAATAAGGCCTCGGGCAGGATAGGGCGGGGGTCCTTCATGAATTTGATGGAAAGACTGGCTCCCTAGCAGTGAACAGAAAAATACTTTATGGAGAAAAATGCCTTGAATTTCCTGAGCCTAGTACATTTTCTATATAAATTCTTTTTCTTTACCAACTTTTAAAGTAAATTTCAAACTTACATAAAAGTTGAAAGAATAGTACAATAAAACCCGTATATCTTCTTCCTTAAAATCACCAACTGTTAACATTTGCCATATATTCTCTCCCTCCTTATATAAAAACTTACATTTTTTTGATGAGCATCAAAAGCCGCAGATTAAAAACAAAACAAAACAAAACTGCAGCTATCACGACACTTCACTCCTAAGTCAGGAGGCACTTCATAAGAATGAACACTTTAACAGAACCACAAAACCATGAACACACTCCAGAATTTTAACATTAACACAATATTCTAATGTACATGGCATTTCATTTCCATATCTCTGTAGTTTCCTTTAATCTAGAACAGTTTCCCTACCACTTCCTCCCATTTCTTCCTGACACTGACATTTTTAAGAACCCAGGACACTTATTTCGTAGCATATCCCACAATTTGGATTCATCTTCTCATAATTGGATCCAGGTTAAATATTTTTGGCAAGATTCTATGGAGGAGATACGATGTCTTTCTTAGTACAAAATATCAGGAAGCACATGGTATTACTTTGTTCCATTGCCAGTAATTTGATGTTTGATCACTTGGCTAAGGTAGTGGCTATATTTCTTTCATTATAATTAATAAATAGCCGGGCGAGGTGGCTCAAGCCTGTAATCCCAGCACTTTGGGAGGCCGAGACAGGCGGATCACGAGGTCAGGAGATCGAGACCATCCTGGCTAGCACAGTGAAACCCTGTCTCTACTAAAAAAATACAAAAAAACTAGCCGGGCGAGGTGGTGGGCGCCTGTAGTCCCAGCTGCTCGGGAGGCTGAGGCAGGAGAATGGCGTGAACCCGGGAGGTGGAGCTTGCAGTGAGCAGAGATCCGGCCACTGCACTCCAGCCCGGGCGACAGAGCGAGACTCCGTCTCAAAAAATAAATAAATAAATAAATAAATAAATAAATAAATAAATAAATAATCTGAAGGGCATTTCTTTGCAAAGAAATGGGAATTTGTGGGATTCCCAAGGATTTGTGGGAATCCTTTGTTGTTTTTACAATTACTATCATTCTTCTGTAAAGAAAGCTTTTTCTCCTTCCATTCCACACCTGGTTTTTAAAAAATATCACCATGGACTCATGGGTTTTTTTTTTTTTTTTCCATTCAGTGTGTCATAATCCATTACTATTGTTACTCTTTTTGATGTTCAAATTGTCTCACATTTGGCCAGTCAGAGCCATTGGAAGTTGGCTCATGTGTCTCTCTGACATATTCCCATCAGACTTACAGCATTCCATTACTTATGTAAATAAAAATGAAACAATGAAAATAAGTAAATTAAAATCTCCACTACAAAAGCTAGAAAATAACAAAGTAAACCCATAGAAAGCATATGGAAAGATACACCAAAAATTGAGGTAGAAAACAGAAAAATGTAGCACCAATAAATCAAAATCCTGGTTCTCTGAAAAAAATTAATGAGACTGCTTGGCGTAACTTTTGATAAATTTGAAAACCTCGGTGAAATGGAAAATCTAGGTAAATACAGTTTTCCAAAATTGACTTCCATAGAAGAAACAGAGAAATGTATCAAAGATTTGCTACAAAGGAAAGCAATAGGGACCACAAACTTCACACAGGAATTCCACAAAACCTTCAAAGACCAGTACTACGTAAATTATTCCGGACCACAGAGAAACAAAAACATAAAAATACTTTTTATAAATAAGTATAACCCTGATAAAGATAGCATATACATGCACATGTGCAGTACACATGCACCATACCACTTCTCTGGTATTACTTTGCCTGTCTCTTGGTTTTCACATTAAATCACTTTGTATTTCTTTGTACCTAGTACAAAACTAGTGTTGCGTTGTGAGCCAATTTGAACATCATTTTCTTTTGATAGACGAGTTGCCTACTGATATGACTGGTATGTTTGGTCTTTATTCCATCATATTATATTTTAACTGTGTTTATTGTATTTGCTGCACTTTGTTGTCTGTTTTTAAACATTTTTAGTGGGGTGCAGTGGCTCATGTCTGTAATGCCAGCACTTTGAGAGGCCAATGTGGGTGGATCACCTGAGGTCAGGAGTTTGAGACTAGCCTGGCCATCATGGTGAAACCCCGTCTCTACTAAAAAATACAAAAAAATTAGCCAGGTGTGGTGGTGGGTGCCTGTAATCCCAGCTACTTGGGAGGCTGAGGCAGGAGAATCACTTGAACCCAGGAAGTGGAGGTTGCAGTGAGCCAAGATTGTGCCACTGCACTCCAGCCTGGGCGACAGAGTGAGACTCTGTCTCAGAAAAGAAAAGAAAAAGGGAGAAGGGAGAGGGGAGAGGGGAGAGGGGAGAGGGGAGGGAAGGGAAGGGAAGGGAAAGGGAAGGTGAAAAGAAAAGCGAAGGGGAAGGAAAGGGGAAGGGGAAGGGAAGGGGAAGGGGAAGGGGAAGGGGAAGGGGAGGGGGAAGGGAAGGGAAAATTATCTTGATATTCAGAACATCCCACATGTTTGTTTTAGTGATTACCTTTATACTAATACTTTTTAGCAATGTCCTTGGTCTGCTTTTTCCTTATTCAAGCTTCCATGTTTTGGTTTGTCAGCTTATTACATCCTTTGACTTCTACTTATTTCCCATACAATATTTATTATTCAACTTTTCTCCCTTCTCCTTCCATTATTTTTAGTTGTACCTGTTTGTCAGAATATAATGTATATTCTGGTCACTACCTTTGTTTTAGTCTTAGATTCTCAATTAAACATTCAATTCTCACCATCAGTTCTTTTGACAAAAATGAAAATGACCCCAGTCACCTCTTAGGTGGATGAAGTTTATCTTCTGTTAGATTCCCCAGGAGAGTCTTGTAAGTGTGATATTCCCTGAGTTCTTGCATATTTATTTTTTACAGCCTTGATACCTGAAGGCTAGCTTGGCTGGCTTGGCTGTAAAATGCTTGTCTTGTCTTGCATATACTTGAGCGTCTTTAAAATACTACTCTCCTTGTTGTTCTTTTTGTATTTTGCTATTAGGAAGTCTGATGTCAACCTGGGTATTTTTTGTTTGTTGTGACAGATTTTTGTGAGAAGGAGATATGGAAAAGGTTGGAGCCCTAAACGATTTTTTTTTTTTTTTTTGAGATGGAGTCTCGCTCTGTCGCCCAGGCTGGAGTGTAGTGGCACAATCTTGGCTCATTGCAAGCTCTGCCTCCCAGGTTCGCACCATTCTCCTGCCTCAACCTCCCGAGTAGCTGGGTCTACAGGCACCCACCACCACACCTGGCTAATTTTTTTGTATTTTTAGTAGCGACAGGGTTTCGCCGTGTTAGCCAGGATGGTCTCGATCTCCTGACCTTGTGATCCGCCTGCCTTGGCCTCCCAAAGTGTTGGGATTACAGATGTGAGCCACCGTGCCCAGCCACCCTAAACATTTTTAATGTTCTTTAAAGTCTGTAGGTTTACCGGGATATATTTTAGAGTTTACTGTTCTGCGTCAATTTTCCCTGATACACAATGGGCTCTTCCCCTATTATATCCAAGTCTTTTATTACTAGAAAGTTTTCTGGTGTTGTAGTTTTAAATACATTAATTCTGTCCCATATTTTGTTTTATTTATTTTGTCTTTATTTCTTTAGGCATCTCCAAATACATTTATGTTAGGTTTTCTTTGCCTAACTTCTATATTAATTTCCATCTGATTCTTCTTACTCCTTTCTATGTTTAGTTTTTATTCTCTTAGCTGTTTCATGCCTTTCCTCAATGCCAAATGTATTTTCAGTTCAATCTATTGTTCTTTGGCTAACTTGTAACTCAGTCTTTATAAGAACATTTTGGCTTTTTCTTCAATTTCTTTTCTGAGTTCAGTAAACTTTCATTTCACAACATTCAGTTTTTTATCCATTTTGGCTTTAAGTTTTTGAATTTCTGATTTAAGGTGTTTTGTCTTATCTGCAAATGTTTAAGGACATTTAATTCAGGTTGATAAATAGTGTAATGATTTTCTTCTGCTTCATGACTGTTTTTTGAGGGAGAATATTCATTACGTGAAATGTTTTGATTTTCATTTTCTATTTTCTTCTTGTAGTAGTTTTGCACAAATGTCAGCTGCCATGTTTGGTTTATTTTGTAAGGTCTTATTTTTTTTCTCAATCAGCAATAATAGGTGTGAGGGTTTGGGGAGGCTTACTAAATTTCTTAGATTAAGAGCACCATCTTTTATTAGTGAAGTGGTTATTTTGGAAGAGGGAGGAAGGTGTATATTTGATTTTGTGGTTCTCATTTCCATTTCTCGTGTCTTTCTTTCCCTTCACCACCAGTCCTCCAAAGGGTACCTCCTCCTTTTAGGCTATGCCTATCTCCCCGAGAAGCAATGCTTTCCCAAGGTTACTACCTATACTCCTATATATCTCAAGTCTCCTGTTTTTCATCCTCCAAGTAAACAGAGTTCTAATCTGCCACATCTCAGACCTGTTCTCAGGATGTCTTTGATGAGGGTAGGTCCTTCTCCTTCTGGGGAGTTACTTTATCTGTGGTATTACTGCTAGGCCCCTGCTCCATCTTCTGTTTTTACAGCCGCCTCTGTGATGCTGGCTCTGCTAGAGTTGGTGTTTATATGCCCATTGCCATGCCATTTGAACCTTGTCTACCAAATGAGATTGCTGTGAGAATATCTGCATTCATTGTTTGTACAGGGTTTTTTTGTGTGTTTGTTTTTGCTTTTGAGAACGTGTGGAGAGATTCAGATTTAGGCAGTTGCGCTTATTCTACAGGAATTCTACAGAACTGAGGAGTTCTTCCTCAGAAAGGATGACTTTAGACAGACCTTCTAGGGGAAAAAAAAAAAGCAAACCTAACAATGTCTCTGGCATTATCTCATTTACATGGAAAGGACTCAAAGGATAGTGGAGAGGTACAAAGTGAAACAAACTTGAGGAAGGCTCAAAACTCTTGCTGCAAGTAAAACGGGATAGCTTACCTGAGTAAGGTTCCACTGCAGCTGCTGAGCTGGCTGGACCCCATACACAGTCTGGGGCATAGCTGCCATGCCTGCCATGTAGCCAGCCTGCTGGGTAGTCATCATTCCATTCGGCACCCCCATCATTGATGCCTGCATGCCACCCATATAGCCTGCAGGCATGGCCATGGGGGCAACCATCCCAGAAGCTCCTGGCTGAGCTACCATGCCTACTGGTGGAGGCATCATGCTCCCCATTATGCTGTTAGGAGGTGTAACCCCGGGGAAGCTGGGGTAGGCTGTGGGATATGCCATCTGAGCGGGAGCCATGAACATTGCTGTCAAGACAACACACACACAGGTCTGTTAAAGAGTGAAAAACATAGTCAGCCCAAACTCTCCCTGGCTACCCCTTTCCAGCTGGAATTTCTCAGGATTACTCTACTCACAATGCTCTTTACACAGCAAAGTAGTTAGAGTCTCTACAAGGCCTGCTATGGCTTACCAATGGGCTGCTGACTGAGTCATTTTCCCTTTAGGGTCCAGATCCAGACCTTGAGTTAGACTTCACCGAAGTGTGACCCCAGACTCCACAGAAGTATGACTCTGAGTTACATTAATTTCTATCTGCTGATACTTTGGTTATGTTCAGGTTTGTTTGCTGTATGACATCCTGGTCCCCAAAGTAACTGTCCTCTGTCACAGTAAATAATTCCTGCAAGGAAGCCCTCATGTCTCTATCTGACACATGGCCATGATACCCAGGAAGTCTACCTTGAGTAGGCATTTGAGGCGTCTGGGATCCATACAGTGAAAGAATGGAGTCTTTAGAGAGCTGTTTCTTGCCTATTTCTTCTGATTTGCTCCCTGGCTCCGGAAACAGGTTCAGGTTTTCAGGAACAGAGCCAGCACTCCCTGCAGTTGGCATGGAACCTACAACCTTAGGGCAAAGAGGGCAGGGGAAGAATTGAAATGGTTCTCATGGGGGTCTCCTTAAGGATCTCCCTTCCCTCTCTGCTGTTCCTAACATCTGCAATAAGAATTCATGGTTCAAGTTAATAGCTTCCTGACATTTTTACCATTGAAATATCTGAAAACACCTGATAATTAAGCTCTGTTATAATTCTTTCCTTTCACCAAAACATGTGATTTGGTAGGAACAAACAAACAAAACAACCCACAAATGACGCAGCAGGGGGAATTGAGTTTAGATCCCAGTGTAGCCATTTACTAGTATAACCAGAGGCTAGTGACATAACTTTTATGAACTAATGTTTCCACACCTGTAAAATTCCCACTTTGCAGGTTTGTGGTGAAGATGTGAAATTATTAATGAAATACACAAAATGATATACAAAAACCACCTCACACTGTGCCTGCGACATAGCAGGCATTTCACGAATGGTAGCCATTAAAGGTTTCAAATCTTCCTACCCACAATTCCCTGGCAGTAACTCAGGCCTAGGAGCTAGCCTCAAGTATCAGCCTTCACAATATCACACACTTTCCATAGAAGCAACTCAAAGGGCCCACTCTTTCTGAGCAGGAGAAAAAAATGGCATGAACAGCAATCTTAGATTGTGACAGAAATGACACAATGTTAAGGGAAGAATGAAGAATAAAGAAAACCAAAGTCCAACTCCACCAAGGAAGCATGACTTGGTTCTATAATTAAGATATCACAATCACCCATTTCAGAATGTTCTTTAATCCTGAGGAGCCCACAAGACTCACCTTTCTGGAACCTGAAGAAGAAGGGGATGGAACAGAGGCCAAGAGGTCTAAATCCTTCTCTAGGGTATTGCCGGTCTTACTATTTGCAATGGAGCAGGACACAGGAGCATCTAGAAAGAGAGATTGAAGTTAAGATGCAGCACTGCTTATTAAGCCCATGCCTTCCTTCTATTCTAGACAAAAAGGAAAGGTAGCCCATAATCTCACGGACCTAGAAATCTAGACTTCTAGAACCATCTAGCATGGATGGGGCTTCTCAAAAGAGGCTTCACCCGACATTCCCAGGGTGCTCTGGGAAAGCCTGTAGCCCAGCTATCAGGCACAGGGCAGCAGAAGCCCAGGCCTGAAGGCTATTTCAGCACCGCAGTGAGGGGCTGGCTGGCTCCCTTTTGGCTATTTAAAGGGCAAGGTATGGAGGGTTCATTTTCAGAGAGCAAGGAAAGGTACAGAAATTAGAAACCTAAGTAGCCAATAACCTAAGTCAGCAGAAGCAGATGGAAACAAAGTACAACCATCAGTGCTGTGAAAGGCAGACAACAGGCTTTCTTTCTGAAACGGCAGAATCACTAGTTCAGGATTTCAAAGGTTTAGAGAAAAATGACCACAGGCCATCTCAGAAACAGCCTACATCTGAAAAATGAAAGGAATGCAGGCAGGGAGTAGAGTACAGGGAAGTGACATGAGGCTCAAAGGTGCTGTTCAGCAAAATTGCTAACATTTATGGAGGGTTCAGTATGTACTAGGCATGGGGCTAAGAGCTTTAGAGGCATTATCTCATTTAATCCTTCCAACAACACCTTTGAAGTAGAGACTCATTCTCACTGCACAGATTAGGAAAGCAACATTAGAGGTTAAGTAAACTACCCAAGGTCACATAGACAGTGAGTAACACAGCGGGACACTGGCTCCAAAGGCCATGCTCTTAACCACTACACCATACTGTCCCTCTGAAAAGCGGCATGGTAAACACTTCCTTAGAGCAACTGTTCAGATATAAAACAGATCAGGAAGAGTGTGAGAGAACAGTCTTAGCAATGAAGACAAAACTGGAAAATCCCATCTCTACCTATCTTCCAGGGTCACTGAGAATTCATCAAAATTTGTAAGAACATGGAAGATGAAAAGTCCAACTCTTACCAAGGCCCAACAAATCCATGACAGGCGCTGTGGATTTCGGGGAGCTTTTCCGAGGTAGCTGTGGGTCTTCTTTTTTCTGTGGCTAAGGAGAAAGTATGTTATAGAAAGAAATAAGCAGGTGTTTTTGAACTCTTTATTCCCATCTCCACTGTAAAGCCACGGTGTTCTTGTGGGTAGGGCTACTGTTATTCAAAAAGAGTTACCAAAGAAATGAAACTCAGGAAGTGTCAGGTGAAAGAATCAAGTCAGGAGGCAGAAGTGCATAAACCAAACCTGAAGCGAAAAACAAAGATATCGCCTGTGATTGTCTGGCGTCCTGAAGAGACAGATCTTTCTGAAACCAAGACAACCACAGAATAGGGGATCCAACAGAAGCAGCAGTTTTTGGTCCCAGGAAAAGCCAAGAATAAAGGTAGGTATCTGATGGTACAAGAGCCAAGAGCCAACAAATCTCCCAGTGGTTAGAAAACTGAAAGGGAGGTCGGTTTAAAGATTACCTAATTCACTCTGCCAATATCACTAGTGACTGTGTCCACAGACAATGTGATTCAGAATGATGATAAAAGACTCTTCCTTAAGCAATAGTAAGTAAAGTCCTCTCTCCCAAGATTCCAAGCTTTTATATTAGAGATTCTACTACTACAGCCACAATATGTCCTGTGGAAAAAGCAGCGTGTCTGTTTCAACATGACAAAGCAAGAATATAAGAAGGGATCATTTAAAATGGTCTAGTATGGCCTCACTTCTGGACTGTTCTTCATTGAAATCGGAAAATGGGGTACAGAAGGTCTAACAAGAGAAGGACTAATGTGGAAATAGCATCTGCTCAGAAGGTGTCCCATGGCCTTGGCATTCTGGCTTGGAATGTGCCTCTTGCTTAGACGGAACAGATGCACTTCCTGAGTTCCCATCTGACCCCAAAGAGAAGCTCTTACAGAGCAGATTTAGGCAGCAACTGGTAATGGGAGAGCAGAGGTGATAGCAGGCGATCCAATCCAGATGCAGAACCCTCTAGCCCCAGCTGTGATGGTGCAATGGTACTCACCACGAGGCCTCCTACTCTCCCTTTCACAAATACACACATACCTGAGGCTGTCCATACAGTGCAAATACTTCCCAACTTACCATTTTCACCTTCTCGAAAACAACAGGTTCCAACTTTTTTTCTGGAACTGGTTCGCTCCCTCTTTTCCACTTGTCATCTTTTTCTTTCTATAATGATTTAACAAGACAAAGAACACAGGGCCCAAGGTGACTAATAGTTTGATAAATTGTAATTCCAAGCGTCCGAAAAGGACAGCCCAAATCCCTACTGATTCCGATGCAAGCTTGAGGGACCGGGGTCTTGGTGTGGAGCATGAGAGTTGACCTCTTCCACATTAGCCTCAATGCTGTACGACATGTCTTCCAAACACCTTGGCACCCGCCCTCCTAACCCACTCATGACTCTTGGTATTTGCAGTCGAGGCTATGTACAGACGCTAAAACATTTTACCAGTATGCTACCCATCTGTGCCCCAAATTTAATTTGCCCATGCTTTGAGAGGTCTCCCCTCATCTTGGTATACTAGTGAATAAGTTCATCTTACTCAGCTTATGTCCTTTGTGATACCATAAATTCAATCATAGGTCCTCTCAATAGTCATTTCTTTTTTTAACAGTCAGAAAATAAACCTTAATTTCAAGTTTACAGATTACAAGAACAAAAATTAAGTTTTAAAGTCAAATAAACATCTAAATGTAAAACAAAAGCACAAAGTAATCTTAAGAATACAGAGTACAGCATACATATGAAAAACATGTTTGGTCTTGCCAGTGATAAAAAATGCAATTGAAAATGCACTTTACGCAGAGCGAAAGATCTTTCTATAACGTTGGTAGGGTTGAAGTGAAACCAGTACTCTTATACAATGCTGAGGAGAGAGAGTCAAATGGTACAACTTCTGGAAAGCATATTGGCAAAACTAGGAAGAGACAAATGTTGAAATCCTTTGACCCAGATGATACCATATCTTGTAATGTATCTTACGAAAATAGTCCAAAATATGAAAAAGGTTAAATGCACCAAGAAGTTCACCCCAGAATTATTTATGCTAAAAAAACCTTAAATAACAACACTTATGCCACAGAGGGGAAATGGTAAAATAAATTATTACCTTCAGTGATTTAGCTACTCACTGAAAGATGATGCAACAATTAAAAACTATAAATACCATATAAGTGACATAGAAATATATGTTAAGTGGAATGAAGGCAGGAGAAGTCTATATAACTGTATTATAATTATGCCTCCAAAAAGAAACTATATAGAAAGAAAGGGGAAACACACCAAGAAGATAATTATTAGCAAAGATAGTGAGAGTATGCATGAATATTTCACTTTAATTTTCATTTTCTCTAAAATAATCTTATAATCAATACATGCAGCTTTTTCATATGAAGTGTATGTCTTTAATACAGACATTTCATTTAAGTTAAAAATGTTTTATCTGTCCATTATAAAAAGAATAGTTTTTAACAAAGCCAGTTTCTTTTCATTTGATATTAAATGTCTTCACTTAGCAAATATTAATTATTGGCATAAAAATCTTCACAAGAATATGAAAAAAATCTAAGTACATTAAATAAATTCTGAAATAGCTTTTTGGTAAATGGGAGGTTATTTCCTTCCTAAGAAAAACATCCAGTAACTGGGCTTGCTTTCATGGGTACAGGACACCAGCATCGTAATCATGAATACCCTGAGGGCAGAGCTGCTGTTTCTACAATAGCTGTGTACAAATAGCAACTCTACTCCTTCATCATCTGAATTATCTCAGATACCCTTTGCTGACCTCATCTGAGTTCATATCTTTAGGCACAATGAACAGAGCTGGGCAGACAGACCAGAGTTTTCTACAAATAAAAGGAAATGTGTGTGCTTGGGTTCTAAACTGTTTTTGATGATGCCATCCAAGCTGTAGCTGCACACTGGGTTAATTCTTTCTTGGCACAGATATGATACTGACAAGTCCCTTTTCTGGATGACTGCAAGATAAGAGTCCTTCATACAAAGTTGAGAAGGAATCATTTTTACCTAACTATATGTATTACCTTACACTTACTTGCCTGTGTTGAAATTCACCTACCAGTTAAATGCCCCTTTCACACAGCTTCATAAGATCAATCTGAAGCGGATTCCAATTAGCTTAACTTTTAATTACCCAGAAGGGCTTAGAGCTCCACGCAAACAGTGATTTCACTGTCTATGATATCATTATTACATAACTAGAATAGATGATAGATAGGTAGGACCTGTGCTGGAAGTGAAGAATCCCTTACTCTCAATAATTCTGTGACTAGAGAAATAGCCAATTATTCCTAAGAGAATTTTCTGTAGAATCTTGTTAAAGGTTATTTAAAGGTCTAAATAGTCATATCTATTGGTTCTCCATTAGTTGTCATTAGTTAGGCATATTTTCCTCTTTCAGAAACCATGCTGTCGCTGTCTGTCCCCCTATGTGTTATATTTGTTCTAGTTATCATACACTGTATTGCAGATTCTCAACATGCCTAGGGTGGAATGTGTTCTTGGCAACTGGTAGTCAGCCTCCCTCTGAAACCCTTCTCAGAAACAAAGGTCACATTGGCAATCAGTCCACCAACACACTGGTTATCCGCAGGTAATGCTGGAAATATACATTGGTCAAACTGAAGGAAACTGGTGATTTAATTACACCTACTTTTGTTGATTTCATTTACAGGAAAAAAGTATATATGTGTGTATATATCTATGTCGATAGATAAATGTGTAGTACATATACACATATATTGTTTTATTTGATCTACTATATGTAACATGTCCATCTCAAGAAATAATTCAAAACTGGGAATCATCAGTAACACCTTCTAACTACAGGTTAAGGCAAAGAATTCACTGATAGGCAGAAGTTTTTTTCATGATATCTCATGGTCTTGACTCAGTAACTGGCATTTTTTACTTTTGCTTAAAAATTTATTTTGAGACAGGGTCAAACTCCGTTGCCTAGGCGGGAGTGAAGTGGTGCAATCATAGCTCACTGCAGCCTCAACCTCCCTGGCTCACGTGATCCTCCCACCTCAGCCTCCCAAGTAGCTGGTTACTACAGGCGTGTATACCACCATGCCTGGCTAATTTTTAAATTTTTTTGTAGAAATGGGGGTCTTGCTTTGTTGCCCAGGCTGTTCTTAAACTCCTAGGCTTAAGTGATCCTCCCAGTTCAGCCTCCCAAAGTGATGGGATTAGGGGATGAGCCACCACACTTGGTCTACTTTTGCATTTTTTAAAAGATGGTTTTGGAGTGTTTTGGTAGCAGTTCTTCAAAGTGTTCTCTGGCCTGATTTAATAAGCAAATTACTTATTATGGACAAAACTTGAAAGATGTATAACCAACCCTAAAGGCATTGATGTCCAGACTTCGGTCCATGTATTTCTTCTTCTCATATTTGTCTCGAATAAATCCTTCGACAGCTCTGCAAAAAGCTTATTAAGGATGAATCCAACAAGCCTCTCAAACAGTAAGAAGATAAAAGGTCAATTGTGTTCCATGGAGCATTGTTCTCCTCCTTCCCTCTTGCCTGGTTTCCCCACATGGCTCCTGCCTGTTCATATGCAATTTCTCTGACCAAAGCCTTAAAATGCTTCCTTCACAGTTACAGCAGGGAATCCTTACTTCCTATGCTTTTCCTTCAGCATAATGAGAGCAGCAAGTGGAATTAATCTACAAATTGACATTGGAGGTGGCCATACATCTGTGGCTGTTCTAGAATATAGGTAAAGCAGTCAAATGTCTATTTTAAAGCACTTAGGTCAATAGGCCTCAAACAAAGGCACGTAAGTACCCCTTGAAAACATAAACTCTTGTGCCCCACTGCCAAATTCTGACCAGTGGGTCTTCTGCAAGGCCCCAGATCTGCATTTAACAGGTTCCACCTGAATTCATTAAAAAAAAAAAAAAGAACCTTAACAAGATGATCTACAAACTACATTTTGAGAAGCACTGCCTTTAGGGGATTTGGTTTTGTGTCCTAGGTGCCATCTCTGTTGAACAGATGGTGGAAGAAAGTTATTGGTTATTGATAAACTGGTAAACAACAGTTAATTCTTTCACCCAAGACATAAAAAGATGATGAAAATGAATGGCCATTTTGCTGACTGCCAGGGTTAACAGAGCACAATAAACTACTATTTTTAATCAAACAATAGTTTCAGAGATCCAAAATAAACTAGTGGAGATGTAACTTTATGGAAGAATACACAGTGAAATCACTGCAGTCTTAATTCCAGAGTGAGTCTTCTTCAAGTGACACCATATGACAATTCTGACATTCACAAATACATGTGCTTTTTGTGCATCTTGGTTGCAGGACAGAGGACAAGCAAGGACACTGACTAATCCACATGGAGATGACCCAGTCACATTACAGGACTAGAGTCTTGTTTGACTCTCCCCAAACATCAGAATACCACTCAGCCTTCTAAGTTGCTCCAGAAAAGATACGGGTCTATCTGAGGTCGCCGAAAGGTCTCAGGAAGATAGGCTTCATAAAGTCGGTTTGCCTTTCCATTTCCCATCTCTTGCATGCACTGTGACCAAAGAGAATGTAGAAACATGGCATGTCAGATCAAGAAAGAACTGAAAAACTTCTCACCCAATTCCACTACTGTACAATTGAAGAACCAACCTAGAGAGTGTCAGAACCAAGATTCTGATTTCCAATTCATGATTCTCTCTACCTTACTAGGAATTCCCAATCATTTGCCCCAAGCTGTCTTTCCCCCTACTCCATAGGTTCCTTTTACTGAAATATCTGTGTACCAAGATACATTTAATTCAGTAATAAATCAATATCTCATTTGACAGTCTTAGATACACAGCTACCAATTAAAATGTCTACTTGGCAGGCAATGATCAGTGTTACCATTCTGAGTTTATACTATTAATCAATTCCAATAAATGTGCTTCCTATTAGGCTTTTAAGTAGACTCCTTAACACTTGTGAGGGATAAATCCCAAGAGCTTTTTAAGTCTCCAAATCCCCAAATATCTTCATGGCATACAATTTCCTTCATAAGACAGAGTAAAGTGTAACTGAAAAATGTAACTCACCTTTTTAGACCTTTAATACAACCATAAATACAGTCTAAAGCAATTTCTAAAGCCATTTTCTCGTTAAGAGTAACCTCTTATTTCCATTACCAACTTTAGCAACTGGATTTGGGGGGCGGGGGGGGCTTCCCTTTTACTCCCAAGAAAGAAAAAATTAAAATTAAAGCTTTTCAATGTAGGAAGAGAATAAAAAATAATGAAGCTATATCAAGGTACAGCTCTTAGGTCAGCCAGACTCATTAACTTAGGAGTCTCACTCCAAGCCCACCAAGCTAACAGCATGCAAGATTCATGTATGCATTCCAGCTGTTACAGCTTTTTTAAGATGATAACAATAAATATAATATATACATTGTCTTATTTAATATACTTTTAAGGTTAATTATGTTTAAATTTATTTAAAATTTTTGAAATTTTAAATGTTATCATCTAATTCCATGTTTGTATGTGTCTAAAGATATATTAACAATCACAGAAAAGATGAGTTCACAAAAATGATATCTTTTTAATATTATGTACCATTAAAATATTTTCCATGTCTAAAACAAAGATTCATGTATGCATTTTAGCAATAAAATATTTCCATAAGTCTATGATTTGGAGGTTTTTTTAAAAAGTGATTTTTTTTTTTTGAGACAGGGTCTCACTCTATTTCTAAGCCTACAGTGCAATGGCATGATCATGGCTAACTGCAGCCTCCACTTCTGGGCTCAAGCAATCCTCCCACCTCAGCTTCCCAAACTGCTGGGATTACAGGTACATACCACCAGGCCCAGCTAACTTTTTAATTCTGTATTTTGCAGACACAGATGTCTCACTCTGTTGCCCAGGCTGGTCTTGAACTCCTGGAGTCAGGCGATCCACCCACCTCGGTCTTACAAAGTGCTGGGATTGAGCCACCGTGCCCGACCAAAAGTGAATATTCAAAACTATAAATTTTAGACCTGCAAGTGCTACGAGTCTTAGAAAATCACCCAAAGATCCCTCTTAATACTTTTGTGGACCCATGGAGTCCTAGACCATAGACTATTTCTGTTTTTAAGGAGGTAAACTATAGGTAGAATAACTTGTATCTTAAACAGAAAGAATAAAAATTTCTGTTAAGGTACAAGAATCTGACATAAGTGTTTAACAACTAAATTTTCCTTTATCTTTGCCTTTGTGCCCGGTTTGACTGAAATTCATCTGGAATTCCTTTTACATGGACATATGGGAGCAGCTGACTCACTCTTGGGCTAAGTACCTGAATCTGTTCTTGAGTCCACTGGTCGAGGTTAACTGACTTTACCCTGGATATGTGCACCCCCAGATTCCTGTGGATTCCAGCACATCGAATGCAGATGAACACACCAATGTTCCAAGAGGCCCATCGCGGCCCTGTGAAAGTCAGGAACAGGGCAATAAAGTACAAATCACAACATTCAAGGCCTAAACTACAATATTAGATTATCAGACATTTCTGCTAGAACGTAAGTGAAAGAATTTTGACCATAACCACCTGTTTATTGACTCTGCTCATTCCTCCACGTGTCAGCTTTTCTTTAGTTTAAAATTTTTCAGTGTACAATACAGTGGTTTTAGTATATTCACATCGTTGTGCAATGATTACTATTATCTAATTCCAGAACATTTTCATTACTCCAAAAGAAATCCCAACCCATTAGCAGGCACTACCCATTTTCTACCGCCTCTTCCCTCCCAGCCCCTGGCAACTATGAATCTACTTTTTATCTCTATGGATTGCCAATTCTGGACATTTAATACAAACAGAATTATATAATATGTGGGCATTTGTGCATGGTACAATTTTTTTACAGTGTCTGCTAATATGAGTGTTGAAACGCAGATGTTATAAGACTGTTACTTATATTAAGAAAAATCCCAGGAGTGCAAAGCCATATCATATTCTATTTGGCTGAGCACCTTATATAAACAGTCCTGTCCCAAGAGACGTTTTAGTGGTGATGGGCCTGTATTCACCACTTTTTAGTGGTGACCTATATTCGGTTTTCCTACCAGGAAGAAAGATAGATAAGGCATGATTGTCCACGGCTCAACCTGTAATTGAAACTGTGTTTATCCTCCCCCCAACCCCAGGCCTATAAAATATGCATTCACATTAACTTAATAGGATCCTTTCCCCTTAGGTTGATGTCCCTACTTTACTCAACTACTGAAGTACCTCATTTCTAGATTGCCAAATAATAAAGATGCCTATAGCAACAAAAAAGAAATCTCAAATATGAATTTTAATTCAAAACTGTTACAGAAGCTCCCATCCCCTGCCAGCTTTACTCATCCTAATAATCACTCTGAAAAATTATCACACTCCTCTTCATAATTTTCACCCAGGAAAAAATAATGACTCATATGAAACCTGCCAAAAACTTACTGAAAACTCAGAAATATTTCCTTCTCCATTATCCCACTTGGCAGAAATTTACCACATAAAATAAGCGTGACATAAAAATTAGAGGATGCAATAAAGAGGTGAAAAGACACTGATTTTCTATAAACAGGACCTATGCTTGGAACGACAAGGAGCACAAGACTTCAGTTCTTTAGGACACAGACAATTATTTGGTTAGCCAGCAGGTTTTTCAATTTTTAATTTTTATTTTTAGAGGCAGTCTCGCTGTCACCCAGACAGGGAGTGCTGTGGCACCATCATAGCTCACTGCAGCCTCGTCTTCCTGGGCTCAGGCAATCCTCCTGCCTCAGCCTCTGGAGTAGCTGGGACTACAGGCGTGTGCCATTCTGCCTGGCTAATATGTTTATTTACTGCAGAGACAAGGTCTCACTATGTTGCCCAGGCTGGTCTTGAACTCCTGGCCTCAAACACTTCTCCCACTTCAGCCTCCCAAAGTGCTGGGATTACAGGTGTGAGCCACTGCGCCTGGCCAGCCTGAAGGTTTTGACAGCAGTTTTAATGAAGGAATGCTAGAATCATGTGGCAGAAAATTAGTTTTAGAAATTTGAATACATGATTATTACAAATAAGAACGTAATTTTTTGACAAAGATATCACTTATTTACTATGGCAAATACTGCAACAGAAAGCTCACATTCTCCTTATTACCACCAGGTGGTGCTCTCTGCCTGAAATTTTATCCCAAGGCCTTATCGTTATCACAAGCTCAGATTTATCTTCTAAAACGATATTTAGTCCCTTCACATTCCTAGATGGATTTACATAGTTGGTCCACCATGTATCTTATAAACACAAAAACGATCTGCACACTTGTTTCAGGTGGGAGAGTGTCATGTCAAACACAAAATGAAAACTCTAAACTGACGTAAATGGGGTTTCTTAGCATGCTGTCTATCCATTTTAGGTTACAGTTTTCATAAAGGAACTTCAATAAGATCTAAGTTATATAAGATTTAAAATGGCATCAAGTTAATATTTCATGTTTCTTAAAGCATTTTTCCTTTGCTCTAGATTCCACAGTCTAGAACTCATAAGACAGTTAAGATGTATTTGTTTACTAACAAAGTCAGAAGCCAAACACATTCATTAAAAATTGAAAGTCAGCTGTGAAACGTTACACTGTGTGCTTCCTGGCCTTAAGATGGGAAAAGGCAATTCCCAATCATCTAAGCCACTGTCACAGCTCCCACTCCAGAGTACTTAAAGTCGTTTTGCTTCTGAGGAATGCAAGGCTAAGACTTCGAGCCTTGGGGTGACTCTGAAGCCACTGACAAGGCCTCAGTACAGAAATACAGGCAACTGTATTTTCATGAAAAGCCAGAGAAGAGCCTCTTCTCTCCCACAGATCTCCACCTGACATCCCTTCTGAAACCTTTTCCCAGTGAATCTAGGGATAGTTATATCCCAGATACTCAGTCTCTTTTAGTTTTGAGACACTAGATTTATTAGTGAATAACTACATGTTCCACAAAAGATTCTGAAACTAGAGAAAAGAAAAATAAAAGAGACAAATGTTACTTATATGGCTGAAAACATGGGGAAATAGTGTAGTTACTTTTATTTCATTTTATTTTTTACAGACAGGGTCTCTCACTCTGTTGCCCAGGCTGGAGTGCAAAGGCAAGATCATAGCTCACTGTAACCTCAAACTCCTGGCCTCATGAGATTCTTCCACCTCAGCCTCCCATGTAGCTGGGACTACAGGCATGCACCACCATGCCTGGCTGATTTTCAAATTTTTTTAAAGACAAGGTCTCCCTATGTTGCTTAGGCTGGTTGTGAACTCCTGGCCTCAAGGAATCCTCTCACCTCAGCCTCCCAAAGCACTGGGATTATAGGTGTCAGCAACCATGCTCTGCCAGTTGTAGTTATTAAAAGTATAATCTTTGCTGCCAGTAAGGACTTAGGTTTGAGCGCAGTTCCTTCAATGATTACCTGTGTGACCTTCTGAGAGACTGAGCCTTAGTTTCTTCATCTATAAAATGGGTACCATATAATTCACCTCACAGTGCCTAAAACACAGAGGGACAATAACTGAGGACTATATATAAGGACGTGGTATCGAATGAGGTTTCCAGAACCCACTTCCCATTCATCTTCCTGATATGGGCCAGTTAACTCATTCATATATGTAATATATACCTAGGCTCTGTGCAATACCATGGAGTGCTTCTTTTTATTTTAATTTTATTTTTTTGAGACAGAGTCTCGCTCTGTCACCCAGGCTGGAGTGCAGTGGTGTGATTTTGGCTCACTGCAACCTCTGCCTCCTGGGTTCAAGCAATTCTGTTCCCTCAGCTTCCTGAGTAGCTGGGACTATAGGCACATGCCACCACACCCAGCTAACTTTCATATTTTAATAGAGACAGGGTTTCGCCACATTGGCCAGGCTGGTCTCGAACTCCAGACCTCTGGTGATCCACTCGCCTTGGCCTCCCAAAGGGCTGGGATTACAGGTGTGAATCACCACGCTCAGCCAGAGTGCTTCTTTTTGGAAAGGAATATGAGTTCTGGTCCTAAAATACCAGAACCAAAATGAACTGAATATCAGAGAGAAGAAATTTACCCTAGACCCAATTTCAAAGTCTTCTAGAAAACATGAAATTTTAAGCAGCTTCCTTTATTGATCTTAAAATATTTCTTGAAAATGCACTTTTTAAACCCTCACCTGTTCCCTTTCTCTGCTACACACCCCCACCCTGCCCTTGTGCTTGCATATGCCCCCATTAGACAGGCAAAGAAAGAAGGCCCAAGGCTGTCAGCCTAAGTGGTGGGTACTTGGATTCCACAGTACCTGGTATTGCTGCTGCAAGGCCAGCCTACTTTAATCTGGTAAACTTGCAAAAATGCAAGTGAAACCAATTGTTTTAACATAATGATCTCCAATTCCATCTGTGTTGCTGCAAATGTCAGTGAGTTTAAAAAAGGTGGATCTCATGAAGAGAGAGTAAATCAGTGTTCTAGAAGCCAGAAAGGATAGGGGAATGGAGGATGAAGTGAGGTTGATTAATGGGTACAAAAATATAGTTAGCTAGCCTGGCCAACATGGTGAAACCCCATCTCTACTAAAAATACAAAAAATTAGCCGGGCATGGTGTCACGTCTGTAATCCCAGCTACTGGGGAGGCTGAGGCAGGAGAATTGCTTGAATCCAGGAGTCAGAGGTTGAAACGAGCCGAGATCACACCACTGCACTCCAGCCTGGGCGACAGAGCAAGACCCTGTCTCAAAAAACCCAAAAATACAAAAATACAGTTAGAAGAAATAAGACCTAGTGTTCAATAAATCAGTTGAGTGACTATAGCAAACAATAATCTACCATATATCTCAAAATAGGTAGAAGAGAATAATTCAAATGTTCCCAGCATAAAGAAAAGATAAATGTTTAAGGTGATGGATATACCATTATCATGATTTGGTTATTACACATTATGTGAATGTATCAAAATAATCATGAAAATATGTATATCTATTATGTATCAATAAAGAGAGATAAACCAATTGTTCAATACACATTGGTCATGGTTATCAAGGAAAAAATATAAAAGATACCATTTTGAAATTTAAAATGAAAAGAGATGCTGAGAGGCAATATGCCAAACAATTTTGAAAGCAAAGAGGATAGACAAGTGATGTAAACTGGTAGTGACTGACACAACACAAGAACAAGGTCACAGATAAGTGAACATATTCAACAGGAGCCTAAGAGCAGGCTTGGGCAGCATTAAGCAATACTAAAACTAACATAGAATCACTCTGTAATAAGCGATCAGGGAAAATGAAAAAAGTAGATGGAAATGGATTTGGTTGATCAGTCAAGAAATCAACTGTCCTAAGTACCAGCTCAGTATGGGAAAAACCTGGGTTTACATGGACCTGTTGCATTATTTTGACAAGTTTCTCTAGGGCTTATGTCTCCATTTGTAAAATGGAAAGCATACAGGTAATATCCAACTTATATTCAACTTCTGGACAGTTTCTACATACTGAGTAACTACTGCTGTAAATTCCTCTTGCTGCTGAAACTTTCCCCACCATCAAAGCTGCCAGGATTAGAAAGGCTCTGGAAGACAGAAAACTCGGCAGACAGAAAACAGGAACTAGAGTGATAGAGGGCTTCAAGCTACTATTAATATTATAATAATTACCTCATTGAGTTCTAATCTATGGAGTTCCAAACAAATAAATGTTGAGGAGAAAAAAAAAATTGATAAATTGATGGCTACCTATATTTAGACCTGCTGGCATAATGGACCTGTCAAAAAGTTTAACGGCAGGGTAAGAGAAGGGAGAGAAAAATCTCTCCCATCTTCCATCCAAATCCTGTTGAATCTATCTTGGAAACTTTTCCACAATCTATCCATTTCTACCTAGACCTTCTCATCTCTCACCTATAAGCATTCGTTTTTTTGTTTTTTTGGGTTTTTTTTTTTTTGAGATGGAGTCTCGCTCTGTCGCCCAGGCTGGAGTGCAGTGGCGCGATCTCGACTCACTGCAAGCTCCGCCTCCCGGGTTCACGTGTCACCGTGGTAACCAGGATGTCACCAGGGTGTCACCGTGGTAACCAGGATGGTCTCATCTCCTGACCTTGTGATCCGCCCGCCTCAGCCTCCCAAAGTGCTGGGATTACAGGAGTGAGCCACCGCGCCTGGCCAGCATTCATTCTCTTAACATTATTTATTGTGTACCTACGTGCCAAGCACTTTGTCTGCTAAGTACTGGGGATACAAAGGCAGAGAAAATAAAGATGAGATACCTCAATTCAAAAACCTCACAGACTAACAAGCAATTAGTCTCCAGAATCCCACTAGAATAATCTTTCTAAAACACAAATCTGTACAGATCAGACCTCTAAATATAAATACCTTCCATGTAGTCTTATACACAGAGGTAAATATGTAAATTGGTGCACATTTTCTGAATAGCATATTCCAAACTAAGCTCTCAATCTCTTGCTACAAAATCTCTTCCTTTTTCCTTCATCTTAGTCAACTACACCTCCATCCATTCCATTGCGTCAGCCAGAAATTTATGCATCATAAAACCTCTCTCTCCTTCAGCCCCCACATCACCAAGCCAAAAATATCTGTCAAATCAGTATCTCTTCTCTCCATCTGTATAACTATTTCTGTAATCTAAAACCACCAGACTCTTTTGGACCACTGCAATAACCTCCTAATAGCTCTCTCTCCACTTTTACATTCTCTTCTCCCTCGAGCCCAAACCAAAACCATTCTCCACCAACAGCCAACTTGAGCTCTTAAAGAAGCAGAGCCACCTCGTGCTACTTAAAATTCTTCTATTACTATTGGATTAAAAAACAAAATCCTTAACATGGTTTCCAAGGTCTTAAAGGTCTAGCCCATGCCTCCTTCCGCAGCCTCTCAATTCCTATGACAGCAGCCTTCTTTCATTTCCTCAAGGCACCAACATGTTCCTTCCTCAGGGCTTGCTGGCCTTTGAACATGCTGCTCCTGCTGCCTAAAAAAACTCCCTAACTGCCAAATGCCCCTTGCAGCCTGGCCAACTCCTATACATCACGAGGGTCTCAGCTGAAATGCTTCTTCCTCAAAGGAGTCTTTCCTTGGCTCCCCAGTCTAAACACAACTGTAATCTCTCTTCTACCCTTTCTTTTGGTTTTTACCTTATAGAAAATTTCAAACAAACAAAAGCAGAGCATAATTAACCATAAGCTTCAGCAATTATCAACTCCTAGCCAATTTTGTTTCAGCTATACTCCCACCCACTGCCCCTCGACTCCAACCTTGGATTATTCTGAAGCAAGTCCTAAATATCATACCATTTCATCTGTGTATACTTCAGCATATATCTCTAAAAGATAAGGACTTTTTTTAAAGGCTATGAACTTTCATTTACCCTTTACTCTTTCTTTCCTTTTTTTTCCTCGCTCTTTTTTTTTTTTTTTTTTTTTTTTTTTTTGAGACAGGGTCTTGCTCTGTCACCCAGGCTGGAGTGCAGTGGCACGATCATAACTCATAGCAGCCTTGGGCTGTTGGGCTCAGGCAATCCTCCCACCTCAGTCTCCCAAGTAGCTGGGACCACAGGCATGAGCCACCACACTCAGCTGAATTTTTTATTTTTGTAGAGATGGGTCATTGAGTGCTGTAAAGAGTCAGGGGGAAAAAAAAAAAAGTAAAGAAAAAATTCTTTACTTTTTTACAGGCTCATGCCTGTAATCCCAACACTTTGGGAGGCCGAGGCGGGCGGATCACCTGAGGTCAGGTGTTTGAGACCAGCCTGGCCAACATGGTGAAACTCCATCTCTACTAAAAATACAAAAAAAAAAAAAAATAGCCAGACATGGTGGCACATGCCTGTAGTCCCAGCTACTTGGGAGGCTGAGGCAGGAGAATCACATGAGCTCAGGAAGCGGCGGTTACAGTGAGCCAAGATCCTGCCACTGCACTCCAGCCAGGGTGACAAAGCAAGGCTCCATCTGAAAAAAATAAACTAAAAATAAATAAATGAAATAAAAAAGAGACAGGGTCTCACTATGTTGCCCAGGCTGGTCTTGAACTCCTGGCCTCAAACGATTTTCCTACTTTGGCCTCCCAAAGCACTGAGATTACAGGAGTAGGCCCCTGTGCCTGGCCACCCTTTACTTTTTCTAAATCATACCACATTTTGTTACTATCTAATTATTTGATTAAGATTCTTTCCCACTAATGTGTGCCACAAGAGCTGACACCAGACCTGTGACATTCACTATCATATACCCACAGCATAGCACGGTTCCTTGAACATAGCAGGGAGGCAACATTTGTTTAAAAATTAATTAAAACTAAGTGTGCTAGGTGCAGTGGCACATGTCTGTAGTCCCAGCTATTCAGGAGGCTGAGGTTGGAGGATCACTTGACCCCAGGAGTTTGAGGACAGCCTGGGCAACATATTGACGCCCTAACTCAAAAAAACAAAAGAACTAAGTAAATCCTTTGACCCCACTTGTAAGAATTCATCAGGGAAAAAACAGGTCAAGTACACAAAGAAATATGTTAAGAATGTTCATTATTACATCTTTATAAAAATTAGAAACATCAATAGGTTACATTAAGGAATTATGGTATCACCATTTAATGGGGAAAAATTTTGGAGCCTCTATTTGATACAAAAGTATCTCCATGATATAGTAATTTTTTAAATCCAGTATTAAAAGAGTATACATGGAACAATTCCATTTTTGTTTAAAATATGAATAAATGAGCTGGGTGTGGTGGCATGCCTCTGTAGTCCTAGCTACTTGGGAGGCTCAGGTGGGAGTACTGCTTGAGCCCAAGGATTTAAGGCTGCAATAAGCTATGATTGCACCATGGCACTCCATCCTAGGGAACAGAGCAAGACCTTGTCAAAAAAAAGAAAAGAAAAGAAAAAAGAATAAATGTACAGGTATGCACAGAAAAAACATCTAGAAGAATGTATGTAAATTATTACTATATCTGGATAATGGGACTGTGAAAGATCTATTTTCTTCTCTATATATACTCTCTGGATTGTTTGCAATGAACTTTCTATTAAGTTTGCAGTGGGAAAAACCAGTACAGATATCATAAAAACAAAACAACGCGAGCATCCGGGGCTCCTTACTGGCTGTAGGATAAGTTGAAACTCCTTAACATGATATATAAAGTCTGTTGAGAGCCTTGTGCTTTACACGTGCTGAGAAAGTCATAATTCTGAAATATGCGACACACTCAAATCTCTTTAACTACACCATTCTTTCTACCTGGAATGGCTTTCTCCCTCATTCCCTGCTTAACAAACTTAAAAATCCAGTTCATCTGTGACGCCCTCCAGTGGAATAAACCTTAACTTTCTCTATCGCTAATAGCCCAGATAATAGCTTTGTTCTTCTAATACTTAACATCTTGTTCGAGTTGCTTACAGGTCTCTCTTGTCCTCAACAGACTATGAGCTCTGGAAGGCAATGACCATGTTCCTTCATCATTTATCCCAAACACTTGACACAATGCTAGCAAACAGAAGATGGTACACAATAAATGGGTGTTAAATGAGTTAATCAACAAGCAACATAAATGTATATATTCTTCCTGTTTTGCAAAATGAAGGGAGAAGTTTTCACATGCCTTAAAGGATAGGCTATAACACAGAAAACGGATTAGGCTACTTTGGAGAGGCTTCAAAAGCAGAACTGGCATTAAGGAATAGAAGTCGATTTTAGCACACTCTGGGGAAAAATTTTCTAACAATTAAGGTTGTGTAAAAACAAATGCAGCATATCCAGAAATTGTAAAATCCCAGTTAGTGCAGTGTTCAAACAGAGGCTTGGTAATCAGTTCTCAGGGATGGTAGAGAAATGATCCCCATGTGGTGAATTGGGTGAACAACGAGCCCTACGGTTCTTTCTACTACAGTCCTACTACTATAGTAGATGGTTTGCAGTAATTTTTAGGTCCCTTCCTGCTTACCATTCAATGGTTCTGAAAATGTAAAATGAAATAAACAATTTATGAAAATGTTAGGTCTTGAGGAACCTAAAACACAAATCAAATTCAGTTCCTGGAGCCTACAGTAAGCACTGAAAACTGGTTAAATACAACATACACATGAGGAAGAACCTAAATCAACAAACTTGGATTTTATAAGAGATTAATTCTACATGACGTAGCTTGTCATTAACTCTGACCTAAAATTTGGAAGTCAAAGTAAAAAAGCAGTAGTATTTGTTTTAAAAACAAATCTAGTGCCAGTTACCTCAGTTCCACTCATTATATCCTTCCATTCTCTGATTCACTGAAAATGAAGAATACACAGAAACACCAGTGGGATCTTGGAAAAATTATGTAGGGCTGCTGAGAGGTATGTTTACCTCTATGTTTTCATCTACACAAAAAAGAGTTCATCAAGTTCCTTATTCCAAAATAACAATAAACAGTAACTTTGAACTTCTGTAAGTACAAACATTTTAAGGAACCATGAGACCAAAATAAAGGCTTATGCAATCAACCTCTGCTTTCAGAACGCTTGCAAGAGAAGTCCCTTTCCATCTGGGCCATCTTGCAAGAATGTTGTTTCCGTTTGTCAAAAAGAAACACTGTCCACATTTGTACAGCTGAAAAAAGAGCATAAGTTAAGCTTAAAAATGTCTGAGACAAAATTAAAACATGTCTGAGACTGATTAGAGAATAAAGGTAAATCCTACACCAAGAAATTTAAAATGAGAACATCAGAGGTGGAAAGAACTTTAGAAGTCCTCTTGGGTCCAACTTCCCACTGAACGCACCCTCCTTGTAAGGGTGACCACCTGGTTTGTCCAACGCTAAGTCAGTTACGTACCATTTCAAAAGGTAGTCGGTTTGTCCATTAGACAGCATCGACTAGCAGAGAGGCCTTCCTTATACTGAGTCTGATTAATCTGTCTTCCTACCATTTTGATATCCTGGTGCTGCTTTTTACTCCCCCCATACTTATATATCGAAGTATGCAAGATAAAGATGGAGGATTGGAGAGTCTAGCAGAAGAAAGCAGCCACTTATATACTCAACCAAAATACAAGCCCGCTGAACCAACTTGATCCAGGAGCTCAATGATAGAACATACGTAGCAATTAGACAGACTGCTGTGATTATCAATGGAGATGAAGCAAAGCAACATTATCTTCCTAACAGGTAACCGGAAAAAGGAGGTTAAGGGAAGTAGAACACTGCTAAGTACTCACTAATGAAATGATTAGTCAATCTATATCTAAAGCTAATTCAGTAGTTAACTTAAAATGGCTTTTCTCAAAAAACATTAAAGCCTGTAACACAAAGAAATCAACAGGGAAGCAGACTGAGGTCTCCTAGGACAAAGGAAGGAGTCATTCTTCATCTTTCTCATGTTATTTAACTGGCCTTCTTATCTACATAGCTAAAGATACGGATTATCTAAACTACAGCACTAATTTCCTGTGTGACTTTAGACAAGTCAATACACCTCTCTGACAAGTCAATATACCTTAACCAGATTATCTCAAATCTACCTCTTCTGAAAGACAGTAACTTTATCTCAAAAATTCATTAAACTACTCCAAAAAGGTTGAAGGGAAGGCAATTAACTTTTGGTAAATTTGGCTCCACATAATCTTACTGCCTTGGTTTTATTATTATTATTATTATTATTATTTTGTAGAGGTGAGGTCTTGCTATGTTGCCCAGGCTGGTTTTGAACTCCTGGGCTCAAGTGATCTTCCCACCTTGGCTTCCCAAAGTACTGGGATTACAGGCAATGAGCCACTGGGCCTGGCCATTGGTTTATTATTAACAGGTAGGGATTTACTGTCACTCTTCCTTGTTGTCTCTCCCACCAGTGGAAGGTAACTAGTTTCTACTTGGGTGATGTTTCTGGGAATAAAGAACTATCAATCAGTCATCCCGTATCATTATTATCAACTCAATTCCCCAGGTGACTTCAGGAGGGAAAGAATGGGATCCTAGTTTGGACCTTGTTGGCTTTGAAAAGGACATTCTGCCAACATATGTTCTGATAATGTCATCACCTCATTCAAAGCTATGTCAGTGGACTCCCCACCATCAACTGAACTCCAAATTTCAAAGTATGGCTTAAATTCTCCCGTGATCTGGATCTTTCTTTAATTCTCATTACTCCTCTTCTCACTTCTATATACCAACAATGACATCACTTCCTCTTAAAACTGTGTGTAGAGATGTCACTTGTCATGTTCCTGACTCACAGAGAAATCTGAGAGAGTGAATCCTACCCACAGAGACCCACAGGCCTTTTTCTGATTTGGGGATGGGATACAGACAGAGGGACTCTTGGGTGTGGTGAGTCCCTGTTCCAATTAGAGGACCTCCTGACTGCCACAAAAATCAACGTACATATATGTCAAAACACCACATTGTATACTGTAAACATATACAATTTTCATTTGTCAATTATATCGTCATAAAAAAAATTTATTTCCAGTTGGTCCTGGGAAAGCTATGCAGCGATCTTGGTAGTTATGTCTGAGAGCTGAGACAAGGCCCAAGTCTTTGGGGGTTTCCCTAGGAGATTCTGGTATGTGCTGCTATGATTGTTTTTATAGTAAAGAGCCAACGTATTTTAAGGAGGGAGAAAGAGCTAGCCAAGAGATTTTCTGACAGTATTGAAGAACCCTGTAAAGTCAGTGAGATGAGACTGATTACATAAGCCAACGAGGCCTCCCAGTTGCTTCCATTAGAGGCCAGTCCCTTGATGGTACAAACACTGAATAAGACAAAACTTAAAAATCTGATCAGGTTCACCTCCTTCTTTGAGGACAATAGACTTTTTCAAAAAAGAGCAGAAGTGGACCCCCTTAAGCTTTCATTTCATGGAGTGAACTGATGATGGCTAACCTTCAAGACATGGTCACTTGAAGATCCATCAAAATCCTTCCAATCCCTAGTGACTGGTGCCCCAAACACCCTAAACACACCCCATAAGAAGAGAACAACTTCTGAGGAAAATGGTAGATGGTGTGGTTGAAACACTTATCTTAAGAAAGCTTAGAACTGTGCTCCCAAGAAACCACAGGATGGAAGCAAAGAGTTCTGAACTGAAGGAAAAAATTCTTGAACGCTGGAACATATGAATGAACTCAGTTGCAAATGATAAAGAGAGCCAGCTAAAAATCTATGACCAAAACTGCTGGAGAAGATAGATTTGCTTGCTCTCTTTAGAGTCAATTACATGGATAATGGCAATTTGGAATTGGAAAAAAGGGTGAATCAGAAATGGAGACCACTTAGACTACTGTCAGAAGTCAATTTGAAGAAACTCATTGGTTCTGTTCACGCAAATACTCCTTAAAAAGGTTAGAAGAGGCCGGGCGTGGTATGTCATGCCTGTAATGCCAGCACTTTGGGATGCTAAGGCCGGTGGATCACCTGAGGTCACGGGTTCAAGACCAGCCTAGCCAACATGCTGAAACCCCATCTCTACTAAAAATACAAAAATTAGCCAGGCATTGTGGCTCACGCCTGTAATTCTAGCTATTTGGGAGGCTGAGGCAGGGGAATTGCTTGAACCTGGGAGGCGGAGGTTGCAGTGAGCTAAGATTGAGCCACTGCACTCCAGCCTGGGTGACAGAGCACGACTCTGTCCCCCCCCCAAAAAAAAAGGGAGAAGAACTACTTACACTTTGTTGATCAACTTATAATCTCTCACAAATAGCTTTACAGGGCCTATTACTTCTATCTGCAAAACATCTTTTTGTGCAAATTTTGCTCTGCCCACTTTCCCCCTGAAGCTTTTTCTCCTTCCTATTCCAACTCCCACAGCACTCTGCTGCCTCTCCTGCTGCACTCACTGATTTGTGGTTGTTCTGTTGTTGGGTTTTTTGTTTGTTCTTCTAAGATAGGGTTTTGCTTTGTTGCCCAAGCTAGAGTGCAGTGCAGCCTTAATCTCCTGCGCTCAAGCAATCCTCCCACCTCAGCTTCTTGAGTAGTTGGGACTACAGGCATGTGCTACCATGCCTGGCCAGCTTTTATTTTTGAGAGCTCCTTTAGGTAACAACAACAAATAAAAGTATACTAATTTATACTAATTTAGTATACTTTTTTTTTTTTTTTTTAAGACGGATTCACGCTCTGTCGCCCAGGCTGGAGTGCAGTGGCATAATCTTGGCTCACTGCAAACTCCGCCTCCAGGGTCCACGCCATTCTCCTGCCTCAGCCTCCCGAGTACCTAGGACTACAGGCACATGCCTACCATGCCTGGCTAATTTTTTGTATTTTTAGTAGAGACGGCGGGGTTTCACCACGTTAGTCAGGATGGTCTTGATCTCCTGACCTAGTGATGCACTCACCTCAGCCTCCCCAAGTGCTGGGATTACAGGCGTGAACCACGGTGCCCGGCCTAATTTAGTATACTTTTTAAAAACCTAGTATGAGTATTTTGCTTATGTGGATTTAAGTTTTTAGATCGCTTATTACAGAAAATCACACAAAGGTAATTTAAATACCCTAAATAGAAAGTCAAGGGAAAGGGTGTCCTTAATGCTCCTTGTCTCCTGGTTAGCCTATGATATTTCAGCTCTAGCCAATTTCCTTTACACAAAGACCCTGCTTAAAGCATTTATGAATAAGCTGGAAGAGTGGTGGATGAGACATGGCTTCTCTGAATAGGGGAGGGAAGACACAAAAAATAGCTGCTTTCATTGAGGGCAGGAAAGAGATTATTTCATTAGGAGCCAAACAGTGAGACTATCTCAGTACAAACAATTGTTTGGCTTGAAGACTCCATGTGGGTAATTACTCCAGCAAAGGCTCAGCTGGAATGGAACACGGAGCCTGCCAGGACCTAAGGATAGGGACTGACACAGGCTTAAGTGTCTGAATCATGGCTTTGGAATCCCAGAGCATCCCAGCAAAGATGCTCACCCTAATCAGCGAGAAGCACCATTCTGCACCCGACCGAGTGAAGAATGTGAATTTAAAATAGATGAGAAAAACTGGGGGTACTGGGAGCAAATTCAAAGTTATTAAAACTAAACTGATATTTTATAGCAAATGTAGCAAGTCCAAAGATTAGATTTCTTGGGAAATCGAATGCATTTCAATCACCACTTCAATGGCTAATAACAGGCTGGGTGGAGTTGGTGTGCAGGGAGGGACTGCTGAGCTAACAGCTGGGCAAATCACTTCAAAGTCAGCCAGGTGGACCTGATATTTTAAAACTTGATATTATAATTAAACCAATTTCCCAGTGACCTCACTTCAGGTAATATATGCAAACTTGGTTCTCAAGTTACTGTCTTCATCTCCTGGGGACATTTAGTTCTTTACATTTTTAGGTTACTTCAGGTTAACTTCCTCTTTGCAACAACCAGTATCTACTCATATATTTAAAAACAAAAACAAAACAAAAAACTAAAGCTGCAAAGTGAGCCTGCCCGCTGCGGGAGGGAAGGGGCCTGTGTTTAGAAGAAGCTACTCAAAAGGGTGATATGGTCATTGTCCAGTGAGATTGCTCTTCAACCTCCATCCCTAGGATAGACTCCCCACCCCACCACGTTGATGAGGGATTTTTTTCCCCTAGAAAGCTGAAGGGATAACTATCACAATACCAGGTTCTGGATGCACAAGACCCAGTCCCAATCCATAACTCACAATCCCAGGGCCTTCTTAAGTTGCTACCTGATAGCCTTTGCGAGTAAATGCTTTCATACATTTCAATCATTACCCTGACCAAGGCTAACAGCAGGCTGGTGGGTGTAGGCATATAGGGACTGCAGAACTAACAGCTGGGCAATCATTTCAAAGTTGGCCAGGTGGACTCAACATTTATAAATTTGACATGGTCATTAAAGTCGCTCATAATCAAGTGTCGGCATTCATCGGTGTATAGTACACACTTGATACGTGCTTACTGATTAAACAGGGAATAAGCAATAGTGGAACAATATGAAAACTGGTATTAAAAACAGCCCATATTCAAATAGTCTCATCTTTGTCCCTCTAGACCAATGGCTCCCAACAGAAACAATTTCCCCTCAAGGGGTAATGCTGATGTCTAGAGACACTTTTGCTTGTCACAACTGGCAGAGGGGTGGGGAAGTGCTACTGGCATCTACTGGGCAGAGGACAGGAAAGCTGGCTTCTAAACATTCTAAAATGCCCTGGACAGTGCCCACAACAAGGAATCACCCAAAATGTCAATAATCTGAGGTTGAGAAATTCTGCTGTAGAGGAACCATTTTTAAGCCATTTAGTTTGAAGTGAGACATAAGAATATGTCAGTTTTGTGGAAAGGCCTCTTCTCTTGTTCTGTAACAAACAGATACACATTTAGAGTATACAATTCTAAAATTGTAACAAACCTTAGGAATGATCTAGTCTAAGCACAGTTGGAGAAACTAAGGCCTAGAGAGGTCAAGTCATTTGCCCAAGTTCACAGAAGAAAGGATCCTCTGGACTGAACTTAGAATCACCTTTAAACACCCAAATGTGTGTTATACATAGTAGATGCTCAATAATGGTCACTAAATTGATATCTTGTTCTTTAGGTGTTTTTTTTTTTTAAGTTACAACATACAATTCACAATCTGCTCCTGGGAATCTGAGACTATTTGTGAAGACACGTTCCTCCCATCCACACTCCCCTTCCTCAAAAAGAAGCCCAGAAGGGAAAAACAGTGTAACGTACTAGAGCTCAAGACAGAGTGGCCAGGCAGAAAATGTTTTTCAATTGTTTCCAGGGAAGCTCATGTCTTTCACCCAGGCAGAGGCTCTACACAAAACCTTCTAAGTGAGCAAATGAGCCCTTGTACAAGACCACGGACATGCGAATTTCTCTTCGCAACTCAGCACAGCAGCTTTCCTAACACACTGGGGAAGTCCCAACCAACGGCAAACAGATGGAAAATCAGTGCCAGTTTCACTGAATCACAACCACATCCAAACAAGCTAGAGAGCTTCCAGTTCTAAACAAACAGCAGAATCAGAATGAATTCTGGGATCAAAGTACAGATGGTTGGTTAGTCCAGTGGGTGCTGAATATCAGTCATCAAAACAGCCCTGGCTTAAGGGAGGAGAGCAAAAGATGGAGATTTGCCCTTTGAAAAGGAAAACATTCACCACAATGTTTCAAAACCTAGGTGTTTCAGAATAGAATACAATGAGGTAGAGGTCAAAGATATGGCACAAGGGGGTGGGGCAAAGATACCAGCCATGTGAATAGAAAGATCCTGCAAAGGGAACATTAGGCAGATGAACCCAGGGAAGGTCTGGCGGGGCAGGGCAGGGGAAAGGCAGGGGAAGGGGTATCACAATTTCAAAAAAGCCCCAGTAAGATTATTTAAATTAAACAAAACTGTTCCACTGGGCACAAGGAGAGTTTCTAAAACTGCTGCAAGGCTATTAAATTCTACAGCACCTGAGAACAATGTCTAAATATTTACTCCCATCCCACAAAAGGGCTAAAGGGCTGCTATTTCAGCCTCCTGTTTCACACTTCATGCTACATTTTTCCCAAGATGATGTGTCACACCAAAACCTCCTACTGAGAGGGCAGAGGATTCGCTTCATGTCTAGCTCCAGCTTTCAAAGCAGCACAGGTGGCAGAAGCACAGAAATGAAATGGCACAAAGAAGCAATTACCACCAAGCAACCATGAGATTCACCTGCTCAGCTTCTTGGCCTGTCACAGATCTTCAGCTATCTGGGCTAATAGTATGAGGGTGACTATCAAAAAACAAAACAAAGTATATGACCTGAACACACATTAATAGAATAATGCTGCTCATAACAGGGACATAGACACTATGTGCCAGACACTGTGCATTAGGTATGCAGATAGATGTGAAAACACAGTCCCTGTCCTCATTCCCAGTCTAAGGCCCTTCTTCAAAAGAAAAAATAATGCAGTAGCTGTTACCTCCTTTCTACTAATGTAGGACCTCTAATCCATCTTCCTAGAGGACTAAGTTTAAGTCAATGAGGACTATATGAACAACCTAAGATGCTAGTCATTGGCATAAGGGTATTTCCGCACATCAGGTATATAATGTGAAAGTGCTGGCCCATCTGGCTGTGATATGACCCATAAAGCTGTTCTTTATGTTCCTTATGTCCCTTATGTTCCTTACGTCCCTTATGGAGAAACCAGGGTTCTCCCAAGTTCCCCATTCCTTGCCTTAGCAGACATCTACTGCAATGAAGCAGTTCAGAATAACGCCCAGAGCAAAGCCGTCTCTACGTGGGCTCAACCCAGAGAATCCCCCTGGTAACTTTTTCAATTAAAGGGCCCACTTGACTACTCAAAGCTGAACACATAAATAACCCATCACTCTAACAACAACACAAAAATTTATACTACCTTATTTGTATTGTTGAAAAGTTGAAAACTCAAATATTAACAATTGGGCAAGAGATAATAATGACATATTCTAATGATGGGATACAAAAAAGGTATTTAAAAGTTTTTAACATCATGAAA